TTAGGGTTTAAGGGTTTAGGGTGCTGGGTACGAAGAGTAACTCTTTTTGAACCCTGGTAGACCCTTTGAGAAGCAACCCACCATAAAGCCTCAACCCTAAACCCTAAATTTCATGCCGCAGTCAACCTGAAGGCCTGGGAGATCGGCCAAGGGGCCGCGATGTCAACTCGGAACTTGGGGAAGTCTGCCTCTGAAGAGCTTCGGCCAATAAGCTGAAGGTTCAAAAAGCTTAGGGTTGTGGCGGTTTAGGGTTTACAAACTCTAAGGTTTAGGCCTTTCAGGGTGGGTTTAGGGGTTTTGCGGTTCGGACTTTGGGGTTTAGATTTTAGGGTAATTATGTGGACATGGGTCCTCAACACCTATGTGCCCTGTAACGTACACGGTAATCATAGCAATAGTGGGCCCTAATACTTCTAGTGGGGTTTGGGTGTATTTCCACTATCATAGTACTAGTCGGGCGCCCGAAGAGACAATATTCGTGACTGCTCCAGCTTCTCTCCCTGATCTTTCCCTAAACCCTAAACCCCTAAGCGAATATGTTAAGATGGAGCCCCCTTACCCCCAGACTGGTGGCCAGGTACGAATGATTCCATGAGGCGAAGAGAACGGGCCGGTCGCGGGAAGAGTAGCCTCGGGATTCGGCGGTGGTAGGGTTTGGGCTTTAGGCTTTAGGGCCAGGGTTTTTGAGGTTTGGGGTGTAGGGTGCATGGCTTCAGCGGTGTAGGGTGTGGGATGAGGTTTTGTAGGTGATGGACTCTAAGCGTCTTCACATGGGGAAATAAGGTGCTGTACAAAGGAACTTGCGAGTACAAGTTTGGGGGGTAAACTTGAAGTGTTAAGGTTTGGGCATTTATACAGATCGATTTCCCAAGGATGATGCATTCTGATGTTGAAATACCACACGAAGTACTACGTACACCAACACCGACATCAACTACATCAGCGACAACCACCACGATCACAACAAAAGCAGCAGCAAGCAGAAAGCAGCAGCAGCAGCAGCAGCAGCAGCAGCAGCAGCAGCAGCAGCAGCAGCAGCAGCAGCAGCAGCAGCAGCAGCAGCAGCAGCAGCAGCAGCATCAGCATAAGCAGCATAAGCAGCAGAAGCAGCAGCAGGCGTGGAAGAAGCAGTAAGCTCGGACAGGGACCTTGTCGCATGTCTTAGGGGTCAAGATTCACATTGCTGTTTCAGGATTTTGTGGAAGACGCCTGAGGTTTGCACAAGACAGAGAGCTTCTTGAAAGCCTCTCTGCAAAAGTCAAAGGAAGGCTGCAAATCTTACAGCCTTGATTTAGGGTTGAGGTGTTAGTTAAGGTCGGCGGATATGAAAGATGCTTGCAGAACGAAGCCTTCTCCAGTCAATCCCAGATTTGATATAGAATTACCCGGATGTCTTGGAGCCCGACTACCTGTCTGGCCTGGCGGCCTAATTACAAGTGCTGTCAACACTTTCTAGCACTCTCTCAAGCCTGATCGCATCCGTCTCGAACGTAATGCAAGGTGTGCAATTGCAGGCTGCAGGTACTTAAAACCCCGGCTACCCCACATAAGCACCCTAAGTATTCATGCCACGTCGAGGAGAGATAGATATCCAAGCGGTTTCAAATGATTTTTGTGTGAAGCTTCTAAAAGCCAGATACGTCGGCCAAGTGGCCTGTCTCTGGCTGGACCCACTTCTTGTCCCGACTCTCTACGTCGTGCTGGAAATCCAGAGGTAACCTTGGCAAAGTCGTGTCTGGGCTGCTTCCTCTTCGGACGGGTCACCCAATGATGACTTGCATCATGATCCCGGCTGCAATTTCAGAAAGCAACAGCAGACCCTAACCCCAAAGCTTTGAACTGTTTAACCCGAAACCCAAAACCCTAAACCCTAGACCCTAAACCCTAAACCCTAAAATTGCTTAGCCCGAAACCCTAAACCCTACACCCTAAACCCTAAAATTGCTTAACCCGAAACCCTCCTAGACCCTAAATCCGAAACCCTAAGCCCTCTGAAACTTTAACCCCGGGGGGCAGAGCGAGGCCAGCATAGGCATGGCCCATCTCCAACGCGAGACTCCTGAGGCTCTAGGTGTCAAGGCGTGGCTTTGAGGGCTTCGCTTTTAGGGCTTATAGGGTCTAGGGTTTAGGGTGTTTGGGTTTTCAGGGTTTAGGGTTTAGGCTTTAGGTGTCAAGGCGTGGCTTTGAGGGCTTTGCTTTTTTGGGTTTTCAGGGTTCAGGGTTTAGGGTTTAGGGTTTAGGGTTTAGGGTTTAGGGCTTGGTTGAGGGCCTTGCGTTTTGGGTTTTCAGGGTTCAGGGTTTAGGTTTGAGGGTTTAGGGCTTGGTTGAGGGC